CCAGCAGCTTCCCGGGGAATGCCAGCGGAGCCGGTGCCCACATGGTCCTGGACCGGTGGCTGGGCGCCCGTGCCGCTCGCTTATATGTGTGCAAACACTGTCACCGGAGGCAGGGGACACGCCCCTTTGGGCTGACGCTCAGCTGAGTCTGAGTTTCGGTTTTTTCTTCCTGAAAATGAAAGCTGGCGCAGGGCCAGGCCAGGCTGCGGCGTCGGCGCTAGCGCCCTGGCTACTGCTTCCCGGGGGGTGGGGGGGTTGGGGGGGGGTCACACACGCAGGTGCGGTATCGCTGATAAGCAGAGGCCACCTCTGTCCCAGGAGCATTACTCACCCTGACGTCACATCTAGCGGCTTCTACCTGTCACCTTCACCTGGTGGCCAAGGAGAAAGCTGGCTGTGAAAGGAGTGACCGCCCCTCCCTGCCGGGTGGCCGTGACCCCACTCGCCCTGCGACCCTCCCACTCGCCCTGCGACCCTCCCGGACCACAGCCATAGGGACCGCGCACCCCCCCCCTTCCCTTCACCCCCGAGTTTGCAGTGCGGCTCTTGGCACAGGGAGGACAGTGCCCGCAGCGCGGCCCCTCCTGGGTGTCTGTAACAGACGTCGGACAGTCAGGCACTTTGCTTTTTAACATGTTTGTGTTGATCGCAGAGAGGAGGGGAGAGGGAGAGAGAGAGAAACATCAGTGATGAGAGAGGACCATGGACCGGCTGCCTCCTGCACACCCCACACTGGGGACCAAGCCCACAACCTGGGCAGGTGCCCTGAATAGGAATGGAACCCGGGACCCTTCCGTCCACAGGCTGACGCTCTGTCCACTGAGCCACACTGGCCAGGACCACCAGGCGCCTTCTCAGATGCTTCCCACGAGAAGGGCTCGCTGTTGATGTTTACGGTTTTCTTAGAAAGCACTGCGGGAGGTTGTGTCATGCTTCCTCTCTCTGCGCCTCTGCCGTGAGCTCTGGGGGGGCCTGGCTGCCCGGGTGAGATTGCGAGCGGGGCGTGTGCTCGCCCGCCTGCCGGCGTGAGATTAGGAGCTTTGAACAGTCCCAGGGTTTGGGCTGCGGGAGCTGCCAACCCCAGCTCCTCACCGAGCAGCCCCGAGACTCTGGGTCCGCCTTTATCTCCCTGGATCTCCGTTTCCGCGCCTGCAAACACCTGAGCTGTCGCATCCGCCAGACCCGAGGGCTCTGCATGTGCGGGAACCGCCTGCGCAGCGGTGGGGAGGGAGTGTCTGCGGCAGCAGAGCTCCGTCTGGAAGGAAACGGAGACCGCGTTTCCCAGGAACCGAAACCCCGAGGGGGAGACTCGAGGGGTGCGTGCGAGGAGCTGTTATGCAACCTCTGACGTGAGTGCTGTCCCCGCGGCCCCGCCCACAGCGCGTAACCCCCACCTGGCCTGGCTCAGAGGAGAAGTAGGTTTTGTTTTGTTTTGGTGTTTTTTTTTGCTAGATCACGTGAGTATAAGGAACCGAAAACAAATCTGTTTACTTTTCCCACCATGTCCTGGAGGGCACACAGGGTGACCTCACACGCGCTCGGAGCTGCCGGTTTGAAGGTGTGGCTCCCATCGCAGCCTCAGCTGTTTAACTTGCGATACGTTTCCCCACCTGCCTGCTCTTGGGAACCTACTTGGGAATACGGGCTTCCGTGTCTCACACACGGGGCATTTGAGGGATGACAGGACGTAATGCTTATCTTTTTAAAAAATATGTTTTTATTGATTTCAGAGAGGAAGGGAGAGGAGAGAGAAACACCAATGACGAGAGAATCATGGGCTGGCTGCCTCCTGCACGCCCCACACTGGGGATGGAGCTGCCACCCGGGCCTGTGCCCTGGCGGGGAATCGAACCGCGACCCCCTGGTTCATAGGTCGACGCTCACCCACCGAGCCACGCCCGCCCGGCTGGCGTATTAAGCACCCAGCACCTGGTGGGCACAGTGAGAAACCTCGCACACCTGGGGCGCTGTGTGCCCGGCGCGGGCGGCACCCCCTTCGCACTAACGTATTTCGCACCTGGAGAAGCTTATGTCACACGGGCATAAGGGATTGAACTCGGATTTAAACACTTGCCACGCTGCTCACTCATTGACGGTTGTTATTCACATTATTCTACTATCACTTCCTCAGGCTGTTGGACCAGGGCCCCTGTCTTGTGTCCACTCATTTGTTCATTCACTCACTCCTCACTCACTCATCCATCCAGGCATCCTTCCCTTGCTTTCTTCTTTCCATCAGCAGTGTTCACTGGCAGCTTTTATCTATGTATCAGAGAAAAGGTTAATATACGGCCCCGCTGGTGTGGCTCAGGGGGTGAGCGCCGACCTAGGAGCCAGGAGGTCCCGGTTTGATCCCCGGTCAGGGCGCAGGCCCGGGTTGGGGGCCCGATCCCCAGTGTGGGGCGTGCAGGAGGCAGCGGATCCATGGTTCTCTCTCATCATTGATGTTTCTCTCCCTCTCCCTTCCTCTCTGGAATCAATAAAAACATATTTTAACAATATTAACATGTGAAACGTACATAAAGTCAGTAAGTCAGAGTCCCTCCTGGCAAGGACTCCCAGCAGCCGACAGTCACTGCGGCGTCTTTGAACAGGCGCTTCTGTCTCCCCGACTGCCTTTCTCGCCCTCCCCCACGACCCCCAAAAAAAAGAGGCTCGGGAGTAGGCACCCTTCTTCCTCCAGGTCGTGGCTTTGAAAGGCCAGGGAGGGAGGGAGGTCGAGGCAGCCCCCTCCTCTCTCTGCTCCTGGGGGTCAGCCTGTCTCTAGGGCATCCACGAAGCTGGGCAACAGCCAGACGTCACCGTCCTGTTTCTGAGCCTCTCAGCACGTCAACATTCCCAACATTCCCAACATTCCCAGGCTCTGACGCGGGCAGCCCCCGTGGCGCCAACAGCAGGGCCGTGAGGCACGGGTGGGTGGTGGGATGGGTGTCCTTGCTCCCAACATCCCACTTGTCCTTTGGTTTGTCACTGAGCCCGCAATGCACCAGGAAGATCGCGGTAGCTCACAGGTGCACATGGAGGCACAGGGGTGCAGCCGGTGCCTCCCGACAGGGGACGCTGCTAGGCAGCGCCATCTTCTTAAAAACACACACAACAAACACTTTACCAAGACCTTGACCTCTCCGCGACCTTCTGCCAGCCCCGAGGGCCTCCCTCTGCCGCCAAGATGACCCTGTCCTGTTTCTCCAACCGCACTGGAGGTTTGCCTGCTCTCACCCGTTTATTTATTATTATGAATTATTATTCAATCCTCACCTGAGGGTCTTTCCTCCATTGATTTTTAGAAAGAGTGATGGAGAGGGGGCGGGGAGAGAAACATCGATGTGAGAGAGTCACATTGACTGGTTGCCTCCCCCCCCCCCCCCACCCGCACCGGGCCTGGGGATCAAACCTGCAACCCGAGACCCGTGCCCTTGCCCGGGAATCGAACCCGAGGTCATTCCGAGCGAGGTCGGCGCTCTAACCGCTGAGCAACCAGCCAGGGCAGTGTGCCTGCCTTTAACTGCTAGACCGACCACACAGCGGCTCCCAGGGCTGTGCAGCCCGTTCCCTCGGTATCCACAGATGCACCCTTACGCGGAGCGGAGCTCAGAAGCAGCCCGTCCGTTGCACAGCTGCCCCGCATCCGCCTGTGAGCCCGCCGCCGTTTACTTACCGTGCGATTGAGGTGAGCTCCGAGGCTGAGAAACTCATGCCTTTTGGTCAACATCCGTGTACGTGCAGGAACCACGGCTCACAGGGAGACGAATGCTCCCCTCGCACACAGGACTCTCCCGCGCCCCGCCTGTCTCCCTCCTGGAGCAGTGGGGGCCGTGGCCCGCGCCCCCTCCTCCCCGTGCTGTCCCCGAACGCTCCGCTCTGACTGTCAGCCTGGCCACCCGTGGGCGCTGTGGTCTCTCCTTCCCATTGCAGTGTCAGTCCCCGAGGACGGAGGAGGCGAAGCACCTCTCACTGTGCTGACGGTTGGATGTTCTCCTTCGAGAGGCGCCTGCTCAAGTCTCTCACCCATTTCTGTTGGCTTTTCCGCCTTTTGATGGTGGATTTGTAGGAACTGACCTTGCACCTTCTTGGGTTATGGCTGCAAGCACCGTTTTAACTCCTCGGCCTGTTCCCTCCCTGCTGGTTGTAACTCGTGTAACGAGTGTCACTTTACAGACCTCGTGTAAGTGCGTGCGTGTGTGTGTGTGTGTGTGTGTGTAACGAAATGAACAGTAACAGTTCCGTTCCTTGACATTTTAGTTTCCTTCCTGTGTGTGAGGTGGTGTGAGTCGCCAGGTGGCCCTCCTGCTTGCTGATCGGCTGCGAGCGCTCACGTGACGTGAAGCAGGTGGCACTCACAGGTGGGGCTCCTCAGGGGAGGGGAGCCGGGCAAGAGCAGCCTGACCGGGTCCGCATCACAG